GTGATGGGAAATTTTTCCTGTGCCATCATAGACCTCACCATTTCAAGTAGGGTTTTCTTTCTTCTTTCTACAACACCATTTTGTTATGAAGTTCTTGGAATAGTTAATTGATGTTCTATTCCCATTTTATCACAGAAATTTCTAAACTGATTAGATAGATATTCATGACCTCGATCGGTTCGCAGAACTTTTATTTTCTTATCTGATTGATTATCAACTAAGTTTTTAAACTTCTTAAACCATTCTAAAGCTTCAGATTTATGAGAGATCAAAAAGACATGACCATATCAAGTGAAATCATCTATAAATGTGATTAAATAAATGACCTCTTTGCGACTAAGCAACCTCGATCAACTTGCATATGTTGATCCCCTTAACTTTCACTCTAGAATTGTTACCTACAAATATCCACTTTGTTTCCCATGGCATTCGTCGAAACTCCACAAAAGCACTCTTGTCTTTCGCTATATGGTCTATGGCTGCTAAATCTATAATTCACAAAAGATGAGATTCAGTTAGAAAAAAAAGAATTGGAAATATTTATAGAACTTACTTATGCAAACAAGTAATTTACCTTTTGGGCTCGCTAGAACTGTAAGCAAAATGTCCCTTACTGCCATAATAATAGCATTTCACCTTTGCCATATTTTTCTTTTTGGCAGGATGCTTTCCTTTTCCGTGTTTATAAAACTTCCTTTTCTTTCCTCGAGCCTTATCATTATTGCCTCTTCTTTGGGATCCACCTTGGAATTTATGCTTAAATCCCTTCCCACCATGTGAACTGAACTCAGTCATATATATGTTAGTATTTGCCTTACTAAGATTAAGGCAATCTTCTTCGAGTTCTAAATGTCATGTGGCATCTTCTAAATTTTTTTATGCCCTCATTATGGGTAAAGGTGTATCTTCGTGTGTTTTCAATTTTGAGGCAATGATCTTATGACAGCTTGAACTTGTTGTTCATTAGTTAGAACATGCTTTATATCTCTCAGCTCACTAATCATGTTTGACAAGTGCCTTAAGTGTACTCTCTTAGTATTTTCAGGCTTTTTTCTTATATGTGTTAAACTTAATTGTAAGTGACTGGAGTTTGGTAATGGACATATCTCCAAACTTTGTAGCAAGGGCAGACCACATGTCCTTTGCTAATTCATACTCTTGGTACTTTTCTATGGGATCATTGTCCATGCTGCTTAATAAAGTGATGTGAGCAATAGACTTCTTTTTCTTCCACATGTCTTAAGCCGCATAGTCTCTTCTATGCTGAGTCATGGCTCCTTCTTCAGACTCTTCCATGGTCTTGGTAAAAGCTTCAAGAACCTCCTATTCTTCTAAGACATATTGGATCTTCATGCTCCATTTCTCATAAGTTTTACCGTTAAATTTTTCTCCTTTATTAAGTTCAGCAACAATGTTCTTAGCTGCATATGTCATTTCTAAAAAAATATATACACATTGGATAATACACGTTATTTAATGCTCGGAACATACATATGTTTCCTTAACATTAATTAATTATACAACAATAATCTCATATTAGATTTAGAACAACTATTCACTTTTTATCAACAATCATCATGTAAAATATTAATATTTAATTATCATTAATATAATTAATTATGTAAGGGATTCTTATGAAATTACGTAAAAACTTAAAAAATCACACGTAATGAACATAAGATTCTCATTCAAATGATGATTTAAGTATATTTCTACAAATGTAAATAAAACTAATTTTGTTGCATAAGTAGAATTCAACATGTATTGACATGAAATAAACAAATTTCCATTAAAAAAAAAAAAAGTAATTGTAATGCCACATTCCACAAACTTGGAAGGATCTAATAAGCTTTATTCTAAGGTCGTTATCTAACTCGTAATCTATCCTAGGCAAGAGAACTCCTAATCTCTTGTGATGTCCTTTATGAGTTGAGACTCTAATAATGCACCAACCGTCTTTCTGGCACCCCAATCTATGTAATTCTTGATGAATTTGTTAACTAAACATATATAACTTTTATTAACATCTTTAGTGCTTTTATCTTCCAACTTGTTCCAAACCAGATCAAGAAGACCAATAAGACTAGGATAATTAAGAGTCTCCCTAAGAACATTGTATTTCATCTCATCTCTCATTAATCCTCCTTGCCAGACAATATCCTGCATCATTTCATTCACATGAATGAAATGGTTCACTAATTGCACCAACTCATCCTCTATGTCTTTTAATATTAAAAAGTGAGTTTGTAGAGTTCAAATCATGTTCATTATCATTTCCTTCTGAGCGAGTGTTTTAGCGGCCCTGACATGTCTATAACATATCAATTTTTCTTGCAACAAATACCAAAAAAAATTCTATTCATTTATCAAATAAAAGGTTAACTACATTTGACAAACGAATTTATTTACACATATTTATGGTTTAATAACTAAAAATATACCCTTAGATTGACTACAATTTCTTACTAAGTATACATTCAATTCTTTTTAAAAGAATTTATACTGTTAGAACCTATACACACACCGCCACGCGCCTGCATGCGTCGGCATCAACCTACCAGGTGTTGACACACATCGACTATAGTCCCCACGCGCGACCCTTGAATCGGGTCATCTTTTCCTGATTTTCAAGTCCGATTGACCTATTTATTTTTTGAACGAGTCAACTTGGCTCGATTTTACTCAATTGACCATTGACTGCGTTTGACTAACCCGTTGATCGATCATGTTGAATATTGACTGGGTCAATTTGACTTGGTTGACCTTTGCAGGTTGATTTGACCCGTTGACCTATCGTTTTAACCCGGTTCCGTAAAAAAAATGCAAATGTCATAGTTCAATTCCCAAAACTTTTCAATCCAAACTCCGTTTTTTGCCTATAATATATCAATAGAAAGCTCTTTCAACAAGGATTCTAATGATTAAAAAAAAAAAAAAAAAAAACACATATATATGTTTTACACTAAAAGTTATGCCTTATTTACTATTACAGGTTTTTTTTTTCTTAAAATCATATAAAGTCATGCAGTATACTCCAAACTTATATATCAAAAATACCAGTATGTATCATAGATCATCAAGGCATAATACACAATTAATTATGACAAAAAAAATGTAACAAACAGGGATTATTCCAAAGCTCTAATACCATTGTTAGTAAATTAAGAAAAACACATTCTCTAATTTAATCCCAAGATCATGCTAACATGTCATCATTGCAATCACGTTAATATAGTTAACGAATTGTAATAAATAAAATCACAGTATAAGTACCTCATTTCTTTTGTCAATCCAAATTGAAGCAAAAGCGTAGATTGAGAGAAATCCCCTAAACCCTAAACCAAAAAAAAAAAAAAAAAAAAATTTCTTAACACAGTAAAACCTCTATATAGTCATAATAGTGGAACTAACTAATTTTATTACTATGAAGAGGTTATAACTTAATAGAGGTGCAGTTACAAAAATTAATTATTTCATAATTCATGTTTTAGTAGTACAATATTAGGATTTCAGTTCATGTTTTAAGTATTAGGGTTTCAATTGTCTATTTTTGAAATAAATAGAATATTGTATCTTAGAACCAATAAAGATAAGTATCCTTGATAGAATTGTAAATGTAGCTGCTGCATGTTCAATTGATGTGAAGCCATAGATAATTGCCAATTGTTTTAAGCATTGGAAAATTAGAACCCTTGATGTCGATGAATTGCAAATTATAAATGAAGTGGATAAGGAGAATCAAAGAGTCATTGTAGAATTGAGTGATGAGATTCGGCAACTTCACTACACTAATCGAATAGATATTAATTTCTTCCTCAATCATCCAAATGAGCAACAAATCATGTGTGCTTTAACTGAAGAAGGAATTATTGCTACAATTAGACAAGAAGAGAAAGGAAATAATCATGAGGATGATAGTACGGAAATACAATGTGAAGTTTATTCTTATTTATAACTATCTCATATTGGGAATAAATTTTTTTATGACTATGTAGAATTTATTCACATATAGAGTATCACTATAGAGAGGTTTTACTGCATTTTTTGTATATTAGATAGAATTACATTAGAGATGGCAATGGACCCGATATTTTTGGGTACTCGGCCAGGCCCATCCCAAAAAGTCGGGCTTTACCTGATGTTTGCGGGCTTGCGCTTGGGCCTAATTTTAAGGCCCGACCTCGAGTACGGGCCGAGCCTGAGTGTGTCTTCAAGCCTAGCCCAGCTCGACAATTTTAGTATTAATTATACTAAATTACCCTTATACTATATTTAATTACAAGATTATCCTACATATATATACTCATCTTTCCCAAATCCTATATGGATAGATGGATGCACTTTGTGAAAAGTTATTTATATATTTGACGAGTATTCAAAAATAAATTAATATTTAAAAATTATTTCTAGAATTAAAAATATAAAAAAATAAAATTTATTAATATTTAAAAATTTATATTATAAAAATGGATGGATTTGGATCGGACATGAGATTATAAGAAACCCATCGGATCAAATTTGGACTTTACCTATCATACCCATGACGGGTCTGCCCCGAGCTTGGGCCTTGTAACCAATGTAGCCATCAAACTGAAGCCGTAATCGGCTATAATTAATTAAAGCAGTCAAGTCTGATGGCGCCATCGACTTCCAAAGAATATATAATATTATATTATTTCTGACCCAATCTTTACTTCGGTATCATGTTCAAATTAATTACTTCTTCTCTATTTCCATATACATTTTGGAGTCTTTTCTGAGTGGGTCGCTTCTGTCAACTACTCAATTGTTTTGGATACATTTATTATGAATTGTCTCAAAAGACTTCGTCCTGGTTGATTCCAGTGCGCTAACTTGTGAGAACCGGTAAGACTTGAAACAATGAACCAGTCGTTACGCTTCACTATTACTCTTGTATACAATTTTATATATAAACCCACCTGGGACACTTAGCGAGCATATCCACTTTCTTCTTGAGCATATCCACTTTCTTCTTCTTCTTCTTCTTCTTCTTCTTCTACTTCTTCTTATAGCATTTCCTTTTGATCAATCCAACAGTATTCTAAATTCTAATTCTTCTTCACCATGAACTCATCAAACCCCAATCAGAAATTTGACGAGTATGCAACAGCAACGGGAGTCCCGGTACCTCAAGGCTTTCAGCATCAGCCTAGGTTGGGCGCTTGGTCCTCGGGACTTTGCGACTGCTTCTCCGACTGCTCGAGCTGTAAGTTATTTCTGTTTACAAGCTTTCGAGTCTAACGATTTCTTATCATAGAACCAGAGCCAAAATCACAAAGAATATAATAATTTGATTGCTTAAGCGAGTTTGAATTGAAAACTGAGTGATTAATTTGTTTGTTGCTTAACAGGTTGCTTGACGTGTTGGTGTCCATGCATCACTTTTGGACGAGTTGCTGAGATTGCAGACCAAGGATATACCTGTAAGATACTCAATTATAGTGCTAATTAAACTAATCGAGGACAGTAATTAATGAATACTAATATTAATTATGAGATAAAATTAACAGAAATTTTTTGTTGCAGCTTGTGGTACCGCAGGAGTACTTTATTTTCTACTTGGTGCCGTCACTGGTTTAACTTTCTGCTACTCTTGCTTATATCGCACAAAGATGAGGCAGCAATTCACACTTGAAGAGAGTCCTTGTTGCGACTGCTTGGTTCATTTTTGCTGCGAGCCGTGTGCCCTGTGTCAAGAATATCGCGAGCTCCAAAGCCGTGGATTCGACATGTCTATCGGTATATATATGAATATGGTTTCTGTCTATTACATGAACAAAATGGTTCAATAAATTTCGAATTATGAATTGAAGTTATGATTTTCTGATTGTCTTGGAAATTTTACAGGATGGCACGGTAATGTGGAGAGGCAAAACCGGGGAGTGGCAATGGGAGCAACAGCTCCTTACGTGGAAGGTGGCATGGAAAGATAAAGAGTGGATGTCGTTGTGTGATTGAGAAAGACAGTCTTCTTTTGGACAAATGTATCATATTTATCTGTTTATTTGTCCTTACGAAAAATTATATATTTTAAAGTTTTTAAAGTGATATCAAATAATAATAAAGTATTAAAAATTATTGAGTACTGATAAATTTAATTCAATTGAATATATTGAAATTGTATAAGAGATTTTAAAATCAAGTTCTGTTTACATAATATTAGAAAAAGAAAATGGTGTATGGTGAAATTTACAGTCCTATGCTTGTATAATTTATCTTAATAATCACGAGTAGACCTAGTAAACGGGCGGGTTGTGCAGGTACGGGCTGGGTCACAACAGGTACAAGTCCAAAGAGTGTTGGACTTGCGGATAAAAAGTTTGAATGGGTAAGTGAATACTTCACCTGTACCCAGTATGCGGGTACGGTGGACTTACGGTCACCCATTACCCAAAACTAAAATTTCATATTGGACCTTGTGGCTTCATGAAGATCTTGGGCTAGCGTTTTAGAGTGGATTGGGCCTTGGGGCTTCATGCAGATCTTGGGCCAGTGTTTTAGAGTGGATTGGGCCAGTGTTTACTATATAAATTATATAGTCAAATTATGCAAATTGACTTATATAAAATTATAGTCAAATTATACAAATTGATTTATATAAATTACATCTCCTATAAGTCAATCTGAAAACAGTACATATCCTTACATATCCACGTTTTAATTAGTACCTTTTGTACTGCTCAAGTAAAACAAGACTTCAAAAAATTATAGGGGAGATGTTTTTATTAATTATTTTTAATGGTAAATCTTATACTTGTCCTCCTGATGGTTTGCTCCTCCTCTCACAAACTCAAAACCTTTTCTACAGTGGCAGTAATGAATCATGCGGCATAACATAAGTGTGTTAAACAAAAACAAATCAAATTAAGAAAGAAAACAAACACGTTCTAGTGACAAAATAATATCCTTTCTTCAAAATAGCATAACATAATACAATTTCATCATCAATTTCATGAACCCATGAGAAGATCAATACAAATTCATCATCTATTTCACACAATTTCATCATCAATTTCACCAATATTCAAGTAAATATCAATACAATAATCCAAAAATCTATTAAATCAACTACATTTAACAAACATACTAAACAAACTTCATAATGGATTACTTCAAACAGATGAACCCTCTGGTGCTCTCTTGAGTTAGCTATCAAACTCGATCTGTAATTGGCTAAAATCAAACCAGTCAAGTGTGATGATCATCAACTTGTAAAGACTTATTAATTTCTGATCCAATTTTTACTTCGATCGGTTTAAAGGTACATAATCATGTTCACATTAATCACATGTTAAAATATTCATATAATTATTATTTTTATTAATTTAAAGAATTTAAATCACTCTAATTTTTATTAAATTATTTCTTTAGAATAATACTTCAATGCTCATTCATAAAACTTTACACACCACAAATTCTTCTTCGACAGACGAAGACTACGTTAATTATATCTAATTCATTGTATTGAATTTATGAAGCATTTACATTTGGAAATCTTTTCGTTAGTGGATTCCCTTCTGTCAATAAATTAATTGTTTTGGATATTTATTGTCTGGTCGCACAAGTTTTTGTCTTTTTTTATACAAGTGGGCTAAGTTTTGACCAACCAAGAAGTTGCTCCATTACTCTTGTTCCGATTTATAAAATTGAATAATAAATAAATCTATTATAAATTGAGTGTATTGTTTTAATTTGGATGCTTTTTTTTTTATAAAGTCTTCGAATGCTTTTCATATTTAGAGAGCGCTTAATGATCACATATTTAGCTTCTTTTTTTTTTTTTTTCCGAAAATCATCTCAACTTTTATGTTATCTATGAACAAAATAGAAACTAATACGAAACCAAGATAACAATAAACACACAAATAGTAAAGAAAAAAAGTAATACGTGCTATATACCTTAGTTCACCCAATTAACAGGTTACATTCAGCAGAGTCAATATTGAAACCAATTAACAGGTTACATTCAGCAGAGTCAATATTATTTAAATATTGACTCACCTCTCTCATTTACAATGAATAAATTTGCCCTATTATTTTGCTATCACTCATTACAAGAAAAAAATATGTTTATATACTAAGTTTAAAAGATTAAAACCTAATATTACAAGGATCTTTATTCCTAAGCCCAAACCAAATACAGAATTAATAACTTAAATAAATCATTCAACAGTTATACTTGGAAAAGGCCAAAACTGCCTACGGGCTAGGGATGCTGGCCCCTACAATTGCCCGCTCATTGGAGAGCAGGATCCTTGCCCACTAACCGGACAGCGGAACCCCGAATACGTCTGCGTGGCACATTAATGCTGAAGTAATCAACAACTCCAACAATCAAACACTATGAATTTGACATAAAAACATGCATACTCTATTTTGATCTTAATTAAATACTCACATTTTTTTTTCTTTCTTTTCCTTGCTAATTTAAAATTACACCCTGAATTACTATTCTTGATAACATAATTAAGCATTCTATTTTAATTCCTCCACTTAAAATTCCAATTCTTACATATATTTTTCAATCTTTGTTTTTCTATCAGTACTTATACCTTTTTGTTTTCCTTAATTTTTTATTTTTTTTTTAATCCCAAAATTTGAGTTCGAATAGAACCCTACCAAACATACCAATAATCTTTGTAAAGTGAACATTTATCTTTGATCATATAAGTGTTCATAAAGAGATTTTTTTTATTAAAATACACTTATATGTAGTGATCTATTGATATCATTTATGGGAAATGGGTTTAATTTGTATAATTTAACTTAATTGTTTTATAAATGTGTTTTTCATAGTCACAAGCATGTTTGGTGTTTTTTTAGAGCATAGGTGCTTAAAAATAATATTTGGATGAAGAATAATATCGGTGAGGAAATTTGTGATGGCTAGGAACAAATTTGTGATGGCTAGGAACAAACTTTGTGAATCAAAATTAAAACGAGGAAGTTATGGTTTTGAATAAAGCAAGAAGATTTGAGTGCAAATCGCAAGTTTTGTAACATGCTGTAGTATTGTTATGATAACTTGAGTGTAGGCCTTAGATTTGGATGATTCTTGAAGATCTGAAAAGCTAACTCGAAGGGCTACAATTTATATGTTCACAACTTTGCTAGATTTGGGAGCTATTATGCTCAATTTTGGACATCTTTGCACGTTGCGGCATTCAAAATCTTTTGCTGTGACAGTGATGCCTCGGGTTTGCATCAAAGACGAAGAAGGACATGCACTGTGGCATGAAAAATGGAATGTTGCGGCCCGTAAGCAGGAATCTGAATTCTAGGTGTTTTCTGATAAGTTTTATTCGAATTTTCCTAGTTTAATTCACTTAGAATTGTTTCAAAAGTATCTATAGAACCTTAACACTATAAATAGAAGTCTTTAGCAATTTTTAGAGATGGGGAATTGATGTACGAAAGAAGAGACGAAAGAATAGAGAGGAGAAGGGAAGACTGAAAGAATTCTGCAGCAATACCATTGATCAATCCAATTTTGATAAGCTTTTCTACCCTCTTCTATAATTTGTAATCATTAATATTATTCTAGATTTGTACTTTTCTATGGATAACTAGTTTTCTTGTGATTGGGGTTGATTTCAAAGCCCTAAACATATTTTGCGATAATCAATAAAACATGTTTTTTTTCTTCCTTTTTCTCTTGATTATGTGTTTATTCTCTATTATTAATGTCTTAGTGGATTCTTTTTATTATTTAAATGTGCAATTGAATAATTAAGTTAATATATCTATTACCAATTTGGATTATTAGGTAAATAATCGCTTAGTTAATCTAAATATCTAGTGGTAAATTGTTTACCATGTGAATAAACACTTAAGATAACTAAACTGAGCTTATCAGTTTAGCCTTGATTTTGTATGTTTCTCACTTCTTGTTAGGATATCAAACTTAACATTTTTGACCCATTGACCTGCTGACTAAGATAGTCACTAAGAGCTCACTGTTAACTCAGCTCACTCTACTTACTTAGCTCAGTTCATGTTTGTATATAAGGAATAGTGTAACAACTTTACCACTTACTGAATAAAAAAGAAAAAACCCGTATCTTTTACTTTCTTCTTCTCTGATTTTTCTTTACTCTCAAATTACTTTACTTTCTCACTTGGTATCAGAGCCATTGACAAACGTCAAGAATGGCTAATACTTCTTCAAATCCTTCGTCGATTAACAAGTCTGACAGAAATTCAAGCCTTAAACATGGTTCTAATGCAGTACATTTCAATAGTTTAGCTTCAATGTCTTCCTCAACTCTCCTAGCAATTTCGCCCAAATTAACCAGAGATAACCATCGATTCTGGAAATCTCAGATTCTCTTTGCTGTCGGAGCTTATGACCTTAAAGAGCATCTGACTGGATTAATTCCCTGTCCTACTCCCTTCATTAGAATACAATCAACTGAATCCAACTCTGAGGTAATTACGAAACCTAATCTAGATTATTCTCTCTGGAAGAAGACTGATAAGTTGTTAGTTAGCTAGTTGTTGTCTTCCATCTCTGAATCCATGTTTGTTGTTATCTCCAAATGTCAATTTGCTACTGATATATGACTTACGTTAGAGAAGGAATTTCTTACTGAATCTAGGGCAAAAACTTTTCACGTTAAAAGTCTTTTACAGAACACAAAGAAAGACAATTTAAATATGCATGATTACTTCCTCAAAATGAAGAGTTTTGCTGAAAATTTGTTTGCCATTGGCATTGTTATCTCCGATGAAGAACTACTGAATTATATTCTGGATGGGTTAGACTCAGAATATGATGTTGTTGTTGTTAACATTACCACTAGATTGGAGTCTCGAGTTGATCCAATATATATTCAAGAAGCTCAGATTGTGCTTCAAAAACTTGAGTTGAGACTAGAAAAGGCAAATTCTGCAATGACTTCAATGGTTCATTATGAATTTCAAGGAGGTGCTGCTAATGTTGCTAATCTCACCATTGATAGTGTAAACAAGAAGCTACAATCAGATTAGATGCCTTCACTTCCTATTAGCTCTTCTTAGTTTCACACTAAGGTGTTATCTGATCAACAACCCTCATTAACTCATCATATTTTCCTACTCATCAA